ATGAAAATATCTGTGGAACAAGTCCACAAGCCCAGGCACGGACACACACACATGCTTGTTTTTATACACTGTCAAGACATGAAGCCATACAAATGCATCATATAGCCTACTGTGCAAAAGTTTTAGGCACCTAAACATATTTTTTATACCATTTATCTGAGCAATAAGTGTGATGTTGCTTCTTTTTTCCAGTTCAAAGTTTGCTTAAAACTCACCCACCAGAAGCTCAAACTGTATAATTTTCTCCTGTGACTGCACTTTCAAACTAGCCCTGACGGTGGGTGGGAACTGTACCAAACACTCCACAGTATAACCAATGAAAAGTGAAGGGCCATGGTTCTACATAACCACCTCATTTGTAGATGCACATACTATCTAGAACCTAATTGCTTTATATGAGGTGAACTTTGTAAATCTCACATAGGGGATGGAATGAAAATATCCATATAAAGAGCATAGGAGATACAGGCCTAACATTAATCCACAGGAGATGGAGGGGGGTGGCATATGATTGCATTCCCCCTCAAATCTAGCCCTGCCTATAAGTAACAAGAACTTTCTAAGCCGAACTCTTGACATAACCTTAAACTCAGTAATCAAAAGAAATAGTTTTTCTGTTTTGAAAAATAGCTTTTGTAAAAAGCACTTAAAAGTCAGGAACATTTTGCTGGTCCTGACGTTGAAGACTGGATCTGGTTTTCCTTCAAAGTCAGGACATTTTCATCACAACCAAACTCAAATACAGACACAGTGCACAAAGGAACAGGTTGTGAACCCTTTAAAGAATGTGTTAGGCTTGGAATATTGAACTCCGACAACTTGGACTGGGCCTCAGAGGATAAAGCTGCTGGAAAAGATGGCCATTTGATGAGACAGCCACTCGCAGATGAAAGAGCAAGGCCCTGATGCTAAAGCCCAGGGTCATGTCGGAAACGGCCGCTTCGCTGGTGAGCTACTTGCAGGGTGACTTCTTAGGCAAACTTGGCAGGCGTGATTAATCAAAATGCTTGTTTAAGCGCTAAATGCTCACTGCAAATCGATGACAGGCACCGCTCTCACCACTTTTCTTTTGAATCGTGAGCCTTATTTATACGTAGCCATGTTTGTTTCGGCGCTGCGGGAGATGTGTTGAGCCTGCATCACGTGCGATGGACCGTTTGGTGATTATGAAAGCAGGTGCACATGGCCTGACAACAGCAAAATATATTTATATGTATATATCCTGTGTTTTTTTGCCTTAGTAATTGCTGAAGTGACACACGACAGAAGGTACTGCTGTCATCTCTGACGTGGTTTACTTGATGCGTGCCTCTGTGTGTGTGTGATGCTTTTGAGTCAGATTAAGATTGATGAAAATATGAAGGGAAAAAAGTGAACAAAACATTCACTTCATGTGTTGAGTTGCTCTGAGCCTGGATCTTTTGTGCAGAGCCAATGTGAAGAAATGAGGAGAGAGGAAGAGAATGTGTAGGATGGAAAGAGAAAAAACAAGAAATTAAAGGAGCAGAAGGGAAGAGAAGGGAAGAGAAGAGAAGAGAAGAGAAGAGAAGAGAAGAGAAGGAAAAACAAGCATAAAAGAGGTGCATAAGAAAAGAGAAGAGAAGAGAAGAGAAGAGAAGAAAAAACAAGCATAAAAGAGGTGCATAAGAGAAGAGAAGAGAAGAGAAGAGAAGAGAAGAAGAAAAAACGAGCATAAAAGAGGTGCATAAGAGAAGAGAAGATAAGAGAAGAGGAATAAACGAGCATAAAATTGGTGCAGAAGAGAAGAGAAGAGAAGAAGGAAAAACAAATATAAAAGAGGTGCATAAGAGAAGAGAAGAAGAAAAAACAAGCATAAAATTGGTGCAGAAGAGAAGAGAAGAAGGAAAAACAAATATAAAAGAGGTGCATAAGAGAAGAGAAGAAATAACAAGCATAAAAGAGGTGCATAAGAGAAGAGAAGAGAAAAGTAGATAAGAGAAGAAGGAAAAAACAAGCATAAAAGAGGTGCATAAGAGAAGAAGGAAAAAACAAGTATAAAAGAGGTGCATAAGATAAGAGAAAAGAAGAGAAGATAAGATAAGAGAAGATAAGAGAAGAGAAGAGAAGAGATGAGAAGAGAAGAGAAGAGAAGAGAAGAGAAGAGAGCTTGCTTGGTGCAGGGGGTGCGTGGGTTGCCTGGCCCTGTTACGCAGGCCTGCAATAAGACTGGCTAATTGCTAGATTTCTTCAGCTCCTCTCACCCCTCGCATGAGTGGGAGTGGAAGGCCTCATTGCTGGGGTATATATCGCTGCTGACAGAATGGCTTGTCCTAATATTCTCTCACTTTCTCTCTGCCTCTCTCGCCCTCTCCTACTCTCTCTCTCACACGCGTTTCTGTAGCTGCAGCAGTTCCCCTGAGACAGGTTTCCCCAGAATCGACGTAAAGAAGGATCTCTACCCACGCTGCAGAATCAGGAACATCTCATTTCCATCCGCCCTCACGTACTCCCTCGCTCACGTCCATGTACACACACACACGCACGCGCGCGCGCACACACAAGGCCACCCGCCTTCTCTTTCTTGTCTCCTCTTTATTAAACACTATTTCTCTCTCTCAGGCTCTCTTCCCATTTTCTCTCTCTCTCTTTCTCTCATCATCATCCTCTCCCCCGAGCAGAAAGCAGGGAGAACCTGCGTGGGTGGCAGCGTCTCTCCCTGTCACTGAAGCCTTGGGCCCCCGCTGACAAATGAGATGTTGGGGCTTCTCTGCTGAGCGTGGGTGAGAGTGGGGTTTCTGAATCTCTGCAAACGGAGCAGCCCTGGCCGCTAGTTAAGTAATATAGATTGAGAAGCAGACCAGGGATGGGCGTTTAGACAGGAGGAAAAGACTTATGGTCCTTTCACAGCTTCACTATCGAAGATGAATGCAGTGTCAATGTAGAATGCACAACCAGCAGCTCTATTCTTATTCTGAAACTTTTAATTAAGTACTCAGCAGCTCCAAACTAGTTGCCAGTACTTCTGGTGTTGCAGGACAGTTTATTGTTTTACGTTTCCAGGAGCCAACAGTGCTGTAATAAAGCAGCAAAAGGATTTGAACAGGTTCATGAATGTTAAATATTAGAATCAATCAAAATCCCAATTAGTAAGCACAAGAGAGCCATTGTAATTGTCCACAATCAACTAATCTGTTTGCCAAATGAAATCAGTGAAGTCCTTAGCAGCCCTAAAACTAGCTGCACTACCTAAAGGTGCCAGTGCTACTGTGTGTGAAGCATACTGAATGTTTTCAAAGCTTCTCTGAGACAACAGAGCTGCAACAAAGCACCAAAGGAACATGTGGATTTGAAAAGTAAAGTGTTAGTAATTAGAGGTGGCACAATATCACTTTTTCTTTTCAATGGTGATATTGAAACTTTGTGTATCGGCCAACATGACACCAATCCAATATTTCTTCTTTAAAAACTACTATGCTACAAAATGAGCCTTTTTAACTGAAGCACTTCACCTAAGGTAAGTCTTGAGCGTCTGGGGTGCAAGCTCAAATTGAGTCTCGGGCTTCTGGGGTGTGAGTCCGATTTGAGTCTCGTGTCTTTGGGATACAAGTCCGAATTGAGTCTCAAGTTTCTGGGGTGTAAATCTGAGTTAAGTCTCGAGTCTCTGAGTTGAGTCTTGGGTCTTTGGGCTGAGTCTGCATTGAGTATTGAGTTTGTGTGGTGCCAGTCTGAGTTGAGCCTCGAGTTTCTAGGGTGTGAGTCCATTTTAAGTCTTGAGTCTCTGAGTTGAGTTTTGAGTCTTTGGGGTGCAAGTCCAAGTCAAGTCTTGAGTTTGTGGGGTGCGAGTCTGAGTCAAGTCTTGAATTTGTGTAGTGCTAGTCCAATTTGAGTCTCAAGTCTCTGTGCTGCAAGTCCAACTTAAGTCTAGAGTCTCTGGGGTGCGAGTCCGAGTCAAGTCCTGAGTCCAAGTTGAGTCTCTAGTTTCTAGGATGTGAGTCTAATTAGTGTCTCGAGTCTCTGAGTTGAGTCCTGAATCTCTGGGATCCGAGTCCAAGTCAAGTCTTGAGTCTGTGGGGTGTGAGTCCGAGTTGAGTCTTGAGTCTCTGGGATGCGAGTCCAAAATAAGTCTAGAGTTTCTGGGAGTGAAAACCCAAGTTGAGTCTCAAGCTTCCTGGGTGCAAGTCTGACTTGAGTCTTGAGTTTCTACTTTGCAAGGTGGAGGCCTCGATTTTTTAGTGTGTGAGTCTGAATAGAGTCTCAAGTTTCTAGCATGCGAGTTTGAGTTAAGTCTTGGTTTTCTAGGATGCAAACCCGATTTCAGCCTCAAGCCTCTGGCATGCAAGTCTGAGTCGAGTCTTAATTTTTTTTTTTTTAAAGAGAATTCAATTTAGTCAGGTATTAGCTAAATGCACTGTATTGTACAAAAATAAATCCACATTAAACCTGTCAGGTACAACACAGATTCAAATAATGAGCCCTTCATTATAGAAAAACCTTCAGTCTGGAGGACAGAACTGAAGTGCTACACTCAGTAAAAGCAGTATTTAAAGGAAAGAGGGAGAACAGCATAGCAGTAATGTCTGAGGCAAAACTGACAATCAAAATCAGACACGTAGATATGTAAAGTTTTGTAGTTACATACCTAAAGTTTAATATGTGTACCACATTTATTTTGCCTGTCCAAATTTCATTCGTTTTTCTTGTGATTTTTTTTTCTTAAATTTGTCAGTCTTAAGTCTAGAGTCTGAGTCGAGCTTTGAGTCAGTTAAGGGCGAGTCCAAATCAAGTCACAATTCAGTTAACATGTGACTCGAGTGCAACTCATGTCTGAGTTGCTGACTCCAGCCCCCCATTTAGCTGAGATCATTACCAAAAGAATGGAACTCTGTTGGTAAGAATCAAACTATAATCAAACTATAAAGGTAAGACTAAGACTGGATGATTATATCCTTTTATCATATTAAAGGACCATAAAGAAATAGACAGCTGATAAACTAACAGCTACAGAACTTTACAATAAAAGGAAGCCTTAATAAACTCACGGATATTCTTCTGCTAGCTGCTGGGCCAAGCGGAACGCCTCAGGGTCACGGTCCGCCGCCACCAAGGTTACACCTGGGACCGATCTCAGGATGGCCTTACTGTGACCTCCGCCTCCAAAGGTTAAATCTAGGATGACCTGTTTTCAAAAAGAGATGGAGGATGTTAATGAAATGCAATATTCGACAAGTAGACTGCAAGAAGCCTATAAATGTACAATCTTATGACTGTTAGAGTTATACTACAACATTAACAGCAAACAAAAGGCGATTTCATAACCGCAACTGAATAAGAGCAGTTTGTGATGCATGATATTTTGCCATATTCTGAAATTATGAATTAGTGACACTGGACATCAGTGGTATTCAAACTCAATCCCTTATTTTGCTCCGAAAGTGGAGTAAAATGAAGGATTGTTTAGATCAGATAGAAGGGGCAATGACACTATGTCTACGCTATTGCTAAGCGCTCCTGGATTAACAATGTGCATGCAAAAATATAGGATTATTATTTTAAATGTTGAAGTATTAAAGAAATATTCAAAGTTTTGCATGTATGCCACTCTAGCACCCCATGCCTCTGGCAGCGGTAAGGCACCCAAACATAAACACTGCAGTACTGAAAACATACTACCGCAACAGCCCTAGGTGGCACAATTTGTACATCCATCAGTTCCTGGTGAAGCACCAGTGATTGTTATGCCGAAAGTAAAGGTGATGAGAGCACTGAGCTGGATAGCCCACTAAAAAAGCTGGCAACATGGATCTAGGGCTTAATGACATATATAAACATTTAATAGATATCTACATGGATAAAAAAATAATTAAATAAGACACGAAATGTCTACATAAATATTAATGGAATGTATTATTGTATTAAAACTGAAGCTAATAGCTGGAATAATTGTTGAGTCAAGAAACTGGCGAAAAAAGCTGACTTCAGCTGTTGAAAGAGTTAAAGGCATTAAAAGGGATTAGAAATGAACAGTTGCTCTGTTTCTGCTTGACAGGGGTGGCTAAAATTAACTTCTTTTGCCGTTTCACAGAATCAGTAGGTCAATATTATTTTGTCCTGTTTGCTAAAGTTTGTGGTTAGCTTCGCTGTAGCAACTGTAGTGATTGTTGGATAACGCACAACCTAGCTAACGTAAGTTACATTACTTGTTTTGTTGTTGTTCGGTCTAATGTTATATCATAGCATTGGCTGTACAGTGTTTTACAGAGGGTTTCATAGCCACGAAGATCTGAAAAGCGTAGTTTGCCTTCTGCACTATTAAATCTGACATCCAGCCCAGCCCTCGATCGGTCTGAAAGGCGATTAGTTGTGGCCCCAAAAAACACTGATCGGTCCATTTCTAATCAAAATGTTTGGTGGGTCTCAGGACAAACACTGCTACATGTGGGTACCCATACGATATAGGCCCACCAATGGATATATGGTCTGTCTCGTTCCAAAATATATTGCTTCCGCTCTCCATATGGCCTGATAAGCTGCCTCATTTAGAATGTTAAGGATGGATTTAGTGGTATCCATGACAAAGGAATGTCATTAGTGAGGAGGCCACCTGAGTGTTTAGAGTCTTTAACTGCTATTGGCTTCTATTGATCTTTATGTCGATCTTTGCATTTGATTTAGTCAAGCATAATTCAATCCAATTTTAATTTACCCAGGGTACTTCTGGCTGGAGTGGTCCTTCTCAAGCACCAATTTGTAAATTTTCCAATCAAATTCAAAGAGACACTGTAAAATGTTTGCCTACAATAGTAAATTACAGTGGTACACAAATACTTGCAAAGCCACATTTTTGAATACAAAAATAATAGTTTATTTCTATGTAGCATATTGCTTCACATTTGCATGCCGCTCATTAGGACCGATCCACAGTGTGACAAACACTGGCTCCATGTTGAAGATAGCGTGAAAAGCTCACTCTAAGAGGTTACAAAACGCATTTGTGCATTCACCCACTTTCTCACTCTCTCCCTCACACACATGCACACACATACATTCACACACCAGAGACACTGTCCTCTGTTCTCATCCAAAAGTCGATGTATGAGTCATGGTCTCTCCTGCTGAAAAAGCCTCAGTGGGTTTAGAGAGCTACACCTCGACACGTTCCCAAGGCCCGTGCCCCCCACGCTTCAAACAGAGCTGGCGTCTCTCAAGATATCAGGCTGCCTAACAATAAAATTAATCCTCAATCTTGCAGCGGAACAAATATTTACAATTAACCTGCTTGCTCTCCAGCCTTCACTGGGGCCCGACCAATATATCGGTTGGGTGATAATATCGGTCAATATTAGCAATCCATGGAATTATCAGTATAAACCGATAATGTGCTGATAATTTACCCCTTTTTTATTGATTGCAACACTGCCAGCATTTGAGCTTGTGATCTCCCAGTGATGGTTGTGATAGCAATACAGGCTGAACTGGTAAATCTGAACACAAAAACACAGAGCATTACAAAACATATAAAGTGCATCCAAACCTAACCTGTTACAACACACAAATACTTTTTACATGAAGTGAAATTATGAAAAATGAGAAAAAAAATAAGGTGTTAAAGTCAAATCAGAGATATACAATAATATCCTAATTATATCAGTATCATGAGATTTTTGCTTAAAAAAATCTGACAGCTGTTTAGATTTCACAGATATTTCAAACGAATAATTGATGTTATATTTATTTTATTCTGGAAGAGCAGAATGTTGAGGTGATGTTGAGCTACTGTTCTAAAATATCTCCATTTTATTCATTCTACTGCATTTGGAGTCCTCTACAAATAAAAGTTATACTTCTCTGCAATAGTAATCCAAGTGGATCTAATCCAATTTTCTACATTTTTTAATTTTTTACTTATCTACATCGGTATCGGCATCAGCAGACGTGTAACAAAAATATCAGAAATTGGCATCAACCTACAATTCTTGTATCGGCGCATCCCTGACAGAAACCAAAACCGCAAAGCGCGATCTGAGTGTGCTACAATGTATTATTTAAGACTAAAAGTTTCTATTAAACTGAGTTTAAAAGGTGTGATGATTGAGGACTGACAATCATATCAGGTAGTTGGGCACTGTTTGAAAGTAGGAATATAAAATTCAAATATAAAATTACACTGATTTTATGGGTTATCTAAATTTTAATCTTCCTAAAATCAGTATCGACAACATTTTCAAATTGGTTGAGCCCTACTCTCGACCGCCCCTCAGGCAGCATGCACTATGTATTACTTGTTCATATACAACATTATATTTGTGTGTAAAGGCACAGTGTGATTTGTGTGTAGAACAATAAATTGTGCGTACAACAATTGTGTGTCCCACTGTCTGGTGGAAAAGCATGTTTTGCAAACGTTTTCCATTGTACCATTATTACCCACGTTTTACAGTAGCTATAGAATGTGCTTTTTGCCTGCCTGGACATCCCTCCATTTTTGTTCTATGCATTGTTCCTCAATTATTAAATGTATTTTGATCAAAATGTGCATGATTTTCAAAACTGGAAGCAAACTAGTTCTGTGTAAATGCTATTTTTTTTATAGTCGCAGCTGTACACAATTTTTGATAAGCTGCAGCTGTTCAGTCCATGTTGTCTCAGCAGGTGAGAACTGTTTTCAAAGCAGGGGTTTCTCCTATTTCCTCCTATTTCACCCCTCATTGTTCACTAGCAGCTCAATACAGAGTCAGAACATTTCACATATACAGAGCCAACAGTGTTCTAGTTAATAATGATTACAAATATCAAAGTCGATTTCCATTCCATAGAATGTCCACTACTGAGACACAGGCAAAATCCATCCAGGCATGCACAGCAGACCACTAAACTAGCCTCACCTCAGGGCACTGCAACACAAAAGTGTAATTAGCAGCTTCTAATGGATATGTGCTTTTCCATAGCCTAGCGCAAACTGCAGGGAGATTGGGAGGGGTTGGATGTCATGAGGCGTGATTTTTAATTTATTCTCAGCTGAAGAGCGTCAGATTTTTATTTCTGTGCTTGCGTCTTCCCCTCACAAGGGAACATCTCCAAGTGAGAGTGCCTACTTGTGTACGAGTTTGTCTGTGCATCTGTGCGTGTGTGTGAGTCAGTCCCTTTTTGATTTGCAGCTGTGGAACAAACATTTGAGGGCCTCGAGTTTCTTCTTACGCACGCCTGGCAAAGGTGGAGAACCCGGCTCACAGAAGCCTCTGACAGGTGTTCCTGTTGTTGCGTTCCATTCCGTGCATTTTTTTCTCTTCCTGTCTCTCGAACGAAATAGCTTCTGAGCTGACTGATGCAGCGAATGTGTGTGTTGTTCATTACGCTTCCCTACGTGAGGTCAGACTTGTAATCATGACGCGCCAACCTGCCCTTACTGCGCTGTGTCCATAGCAACCATGAAATTGTCACGTCCCTTCGCTTCTTTTCATCATGAAGGCGCCTCTACTTTCAGCTGAACAAATTTAGAAGTTAACTTAGCATGGAGAGAAGTATGTTTCAACTACTTGAGAGAGAAGCAGGATGTTACGTAAATAAATAAGAGCCTAAACACCTGATTAAATACTTCTTTTTTCTAACGTGAAAACTTATGGTAACATATCCACCACAAATACTTCTACCCACTTTGCCACTTCTGTGTTATTCTGCCTATTATAATATCTCACCTGGAATAATGCATACATGAGTAACATTCGCTTGGCTGTTTTTAGCAGCTCATAAATGACCAATTTACTATGTAAACAATCAGCTGCATTCAAGTACACCCTTGTAAATGCACAGTGCTGTAAGCATCATCCTATAGGTGAGTCATTTACAAAGTTAGTTACTACTGTAACCAAAATTATTTAGTGTTTCTACCCATCTATTGGTCTATCTTTCTGTATGTGTGGAATCCCAGGCTGCACATGTGGCTCCCATTTAACATCCTCCTCTTTTCAACATCAGCCTTTCGTTTGGTTCAATGTGCAGTTTTCTAGGCTCAAATGGAGCTTTGATAATGACACCCTGAGCAGAGAAAACTAAAACAAAGTGCGTAAAATGTATAAAAGGCTGAATGAAATGTGATGAAAGCTTCTATGGAGCCCAGCCTTGGGTTTTAAAAATGATTTCCTCTCTTGCTTCACCTGCTTCTCTCTAATGCAGTTTCTT